ATGGGAGGGAGGTCTAGTGCTTATGTGATGGAAGCATTTTCACAAACATTTTATCAGTTTGAAAGCAATTTGCAAAGGAGGGTAGGGTGGAAAGTTAATATATATTTTGCAAAATCCTAATGGCTTTTTAAATTTAAGCTAGATTCATCAGATTTTACTTCTTTTTCCTTCTTAAAGGCCAGCCTTGGCTGCTGCTCAGAGGGTTCAATATCCATCTTTAGACTATATAATGAGCAAGAAATTAGTGCTAACTTGCTGTAATCATGGACCCTTCCCTTTTCAGAGTAGTTTACCAATCTGATTGCTTATTCCAAAATGCTGACATCACAAAGAATAAATCAAGAAATTACATAAAAGGCATCTACTGGTTTATAGCCAGTATTTTTTCTTTCTCCCTGTACCAAACCAAGGGGCCAATTTCCATCAACCCCTGTAAACTAATTAAGACCCAAAAGCTGGAAAAAAAATCCCTACGAAATAGCTTTCCCTGCCAATATTAGTAATCAGAGGGTCTGAATGGGGCCTTGCATCCTGGAACATTATCCATGATCTTGGCCCCAGGGCAATTACTTCATCATAAGAAAGGTTGATGGATAATAACCAACCCCACAAATAAGCAATCAATATATTTATCCTAAGAAGTAGGGAAATCAGAGAGTTGATCCATTATCGGTATGTCTGAATTGTTGTTTCTAGTACAAAAAAAGAAAGGTTAATTCTGAAAAGGAGAATGATGAATTAATCTGAGGGCATTGTGGAATGCATCTCAAAGAATCTTAAACTTTGTTCTGCAGCTTATGGAATAGCAGGTCTTCTGTAAACCAGGTAGAATCCTCTTTGCTGACAATGCATGTTGCCAAGGTGCTTGGATGGAAATGCTTTTACCTGTGGGGAACCTTAATCAGAAAATAGATAGATAGATAGATAGATAGATAGATAGATAGATAGATAGATAGATAGATAGATAGATAGATAGATAGATACCTAACACTTGATTCTTGTCAAAATGTGTGCCTCTTTCTTTTACTCAGGTGAAGAGTTCTTTTTGAATCATTTAGTTACAAATTGCATCTGATTTCTATGCATATTTTTATATCAGCAGGCTTGCTTGCTTTTCCTTCATTAGTATTTCTGATCATTGGAAGGACAAAGTCACCATCTGCTGTCTAGTTCTGGAACTGACTTCAATATGTGCTTGATTTATCTCAGAATACTTCTTGACAGTTCCTCAAGTCACTCAATTTAGCCCAAATGCTATTTCTGTTTCTGAAGTTTCAAAGTGCTTAGGAAGTTAAGGAGCAATTAATGACAGATCTTAAGCCAGTAACCATTTTTTTACAGGAAGTTGAAGAAAGTTGCCAAAACTGATATGATTTATGCAACCTAAAAATAATGAACTGGAATATATTGTCCTAGTAAACCAATGGAAGGTTGATTTAAATAATGTGGAATAAATTTCTTATTATTTTAAAATGAGGTTATTATAAGAAAAATGTTGCCACCCTTATGCAGGATACTTCAGAGAATGATCAGTAATAATGCGGTGATGAATTTAGGAACTGGAATATATTATACACTCCTATACTTTGAATTTGTCTGATTTCTATCTTTTGGACTGAAAGCAACAGAATTCTTAATATGACTCTAAATCATTTCTGTGTATTAAAATATTGTTCTTTGCTACATCCAGACCAGGTAGAATCTATGAAGACATCAAGAGCTGTGGATATTTCAGAACAGAGATTGGCTGATATATCAGACAATACAAGAAGAAATATACAGGCAGTCCTTATCTTATAACTACAATTGGGACATGATTTTCCATTTTTAAGCAAGGTGGCTGCTAATGAGTCATGTCCAATTTTATGATCTTTTCAGTTACAGTTGTTAAGCACATCATTTCAGGGGTTGTTGGGGTTTTTTTGCATCAGTTAAGTGAATTGTGGTTGTTAAGCATATCTGACTTCACCCATTGACTTTGCTTGTCAGAAGCTGGCTGGGAAGGTCGTGAATGATGATCACATGATCATCAGGGAGGCTACAACCATCATACATTCCAGTTGCTAAGTGCCTGAATTTTGCTCATGTGACCACGGGGGATCCTGCAATGGTCATAAGTGCAAGAACTGGTTGTAAGTCACTTTCTTCAGCGATGTTGTAACTTTGAATGGCTACTAACAAATGGCTGTAAATTCAAAGATTACCAAAACCCCTGATTTGCAGGAATGATTGTGTGTTGAATTTGAAGCAGGTTATTTTTTTTCCCTGACAAAGGGGAATCAAGTCATCTTTCAGACATACAGTCAGTTTTTTGAATTGTTATAAATTTTCCAGGTATTTTTTAAAAAATTGTTGTTGCTGTTCCTACTACTGCTGATTTTGAGCTTAAATAGAACTGTATTATTGTTAGTTTGATATAACAGAATTAGCAAGTAAAATAGATAAAGGTCTGGAATTGGTAATGTAAATACAAACATCAATTGTCTTGCTAATTATCTTAGCACTAGGGTGAGTGTTCAAAGGGTAGCAAAGTGGGGGGGGGAAGGACTACAAGATTTGCTTTTACATGGCTTCCTCTTGAGTAGAGTTTTGGAAATGTTTGGGCTTGTATCCTTTGCAAAGCTAAGGAAAGGTGAAGCAAAGCTGTAAGCAGTCATGACTTGCTATTTCACTTAATGACTTCACTTAATAATGAAGTTGCCTGTCCCAATTGTGTTCACTCTATTGTACTCTAGACCAGATACTTGAGCTTAAGTTTCTGATATTTAGCTCAGGTGAAGTAGCTGATATATATAAACTACATATCCTGCCCTTCCTACTCTTTAGCAACCCTTGGATAAGACAATGCCTGAAGCTAAAGGACCCGGGTTTTTAAAAGCATGTTTTACTATGTACCTATATCCAATGTTCTTCTTTTGCACACTTGTTTGGGATGAATTTCCCAGTGCCACAAATGGATAATTTTGTGGGGGAAAAAACAGGTTACTATTGGAAGCCTATCATCTTAATTGGTGCCGTTATGGGGACACAGGTGCAGGGTTAACTTCTGTATAAATGGTTGGTGACAATAAACTTCTGCTTTGAAAAAAAGCTTAAGCAATGTGAAAACTGGGTAGTACTTTTGAGGAAGATTAGGAAATACCAGGGCTGTAAGAAAAAAAAAACCCCTTAATAATGTTATTAAGAAAATTATAGGGGTGTTTATGAAATCAACAGGAATCACTTAATGCCTCTGGACCTGCCACTATCAGCAGAATCTATTACACAGTGTTGAAGTGAACAACCAAAGGAGGGAAAGGAGGGTGACTCCAACAGATCCCAGGAACAACAGCAGAGCTCTCTGTCCAGAAGAGCAATGTTAGGAACTACAGAACACTCAAACGTCCAGACCTCTGATGGAGAACCCAAGATTGAGGAAGATACAGATCATCCCTAGGAGTGAGAATGGAATTTTATATAGAGTCATCATTCCAATTTGCCTTCATCCAAGTGGGTTAATTTTTCTACTAAATTCTTTCACAGATGGACCACTGTTCTAAAGGCATTCTCACATGTTTGGGTAGAAAGATGGAATTTATTCCGTTGGGTGGAATATTGTCCATAAAAGTTTGCCATTAGCTGTTTGCTTGTTTCTTTGGTAATCAAAATATATATTTAATTTAGTTTATTCCCAACCCAACAGAATGTTGATTAGGAATTGGATAAAAGGGCTCAGAATGCCAACACTTAATAAATTTCAAACCTGAAGAGAACAGGTCCAGATTTGGTATGGTTGGAGAAACTGGTAAAAGATTGAGTTAGAATGTGGGCCAAGTTAAATAAATCACTTACCACTCTAAACTATGGGGCTGCTCCATCATTCCGAAGCATGATTCCCATCAGCTTCCATTTCAGCAGTTACTATATATGGAATATGAGATGTAAGTGAAATGCTACTATTCTTTGCATTAAAAAGTAGAATGACTTGTAATGTAAGATGTTGGTCTAGGATTGTGGAGATCTAGATTCAAGGTCCTTGAAAACTCACTTTATCCTCATCCTGCCTTGGGCTGGGTAAGCAAAAGAGTAAGCAAACTTTTCATTCATTTAAATTTACCAAAAATTGCTCATTAAAGGTCATAGTCCTCTGAAGCCTTCAGTCTCATGATTCTATTAGCATATGCTGATGCCTGAAACATCAAGCAAAACCTGTTTCCCCACTCACTGTCTCCTGGGGCCTAGCACTCTCAAATGACCGATACATTTTGCTGACAATTATAAAAAGGTAAGAGACTAAGGTGACAAAAAAAGCTATATACAATGATATAACTGTGTGTGTGTGTGTGTGTGTGTATGTATATGTATGTATGTATGTATATATATATATATATATATATATATATATATATATATATATATATATATCTGAGGTTTTCGCGGTGTTTTGTATGTAGGTCTTTGGTTATTCGGGTTTACGCGGGAGAAAACCCGAACAACCAAAGACCTACATATATATATATATATATATATATATATATATATATATATATATATATATATATATACATACACACACACACACACACACACACATACACACACACGTGTGTGTGTGTGTATACGGTATGTATATATCCTGTACCCCATATATATATTACATCAAATTACTAGTGGAGGATACAATTATCATTATTTGATAAGAACAGCTCTGATTAAAAGTAGAAAACTGGGACACTGGACCCAAAAAAAACACAACCTCTTCCCAAACGTGCCACTTCACAATATAGATCTTCCTTATGTCACTGCTACATTTTCTAAAGTGAGGAAGACTTTTGTCAGCTGCAGTCTGAAGGGATATCAATGTCAGTTTGAAAACTATCTCTTTGTTCTGTTACATTAAAGTAAAGAGCATTTCTTGGAGTGAGGACCACAACTAGCTTTTTGAGTTTTATGTAGTTAGGGGGGAAGATCTAATTTTTATTTAATATAGTTAACATAATTATCTTCTACTATTGGAACATTTGGGTGGATTATTCCTAATACATTTAATATTTTTTGTCTCATCCTATTTCAAATACATTTTAATGGCAACTTTTCAAACAACTCTGGGGCTTCCAGAAAGTTCTGCATATGGGCCAATTATGGCTTGCAATTAGATTGGTGTATCATGCAGTATGTAGAAAAGGCAGGGATTCTTTGTACAGCTAGAATGGGAATGGATCGCTAATATAGCATAAAATAAAGTCTAATGTCAGAGGCATCACATTATATTTGGATGACTTTATGAATCTGTTCATGCCCCTTTAGAGTTCCCAAGTCTGTAAAGGACACACAGCAGTAGGAACAAGAATAAGGCTTCTCTCCAGTATGGATACGTTGATGACGCTGTAATGAACCTAAACGTGTAAATGTGCTGTTACATCTTTCACAGGAGAATGGACGCTCTCCAGTATGGGTCAGATTATGCCTTTTTAATCTAGCCAATTGGACAAAGGCCATGCCACATTCTTTGCATTTGTATGGCTTTTCCTGTCGATGTATCACTTTGTGTTTGGAAAGCAAGTTAGGTTTGCGGAAAGCTTTGTGACATACTGGGCAGACACATGGCTTTGAACTTTCTTTTCCAAGACTGCTGGCAGCAGATCCCAACTGTTTCAGATTCCCTTTATTATCCTGATTTTTCTTCATTGTGCACCATTGATTCCTCATGTTTGCATTTCCCAAAACAACACTGGAGCGCTCTATCTTGTGAAAACTGCGGAGATGTCTCCAAACATCAGCAGTACGAATGAAACCCTTGTTACATATTGGACATTTGTGTGGTCTCTCTTTAGTATGGGTCAATTTGTGCATTCGCAAATTAGCTGCACGAAAAAACTCCTTGCCACAAAGGGGGCAGTGATATGAATTCCTAGCCATGTGTAGCTTCCTATGTTCTTGAAGCATAGTGAGATTTTGGAAAGATTTATATTTCTGGTAACGGCAAGGCAAAGTTTTCCCCGACTGAGGTGATATATTTTCATCCTCATTCGAGTCAACAAGAATAATAAAATTCTCCTCTTCTGCTCTTTGTCCATGAAGATCCTTAGAAATTTCAAAACAAGGATATTCCAGATCTTTATCTTGAGAAGCTGGATTGTAAATTATTCTAGCAGGAACATACACCCCAGGTGTACATGGATTTTGCTGTCGCCAATAAGTTGAAGTTTTGGGAAATCCTTTTGAAGATATTTCCTGTTGTCCACACAGTACTTTTGCAGAGAAATCCACATGACAGGAAAGTGTATCAGGACTTCTGTTTAGATAGAAAGATGTCAGATTGTCCTCCTTTACCTTGAGCTGAGGACCGGCTTCATGACTCACCCAATCAGAAATGCTATTTGATTGATCTCCCCTGGAGTTACAGTCATCACTTTCAAGTTCACAGTCTAGTTGTATCTCCATTATGGGATCTTGACAGCTTTCATTTGCAATCTTCACAATGTCACTGTTATCCCTGTGAAGACAGTAGAAATGGATTCATTAGTAGAAACTCCAATTTCATGTTGTCAAAGGATGGCATTATAATAAAGATTCCATAGTCAATTGAGTAGTAAATAGTAAATTTCTACATCATACATTGATTGACTCTGGGTTGCTTACAGTTTAAAAAACCTTATGCAGTATAGTTATCTCTAACTTGCTAAGTACTTTCTTATCCATCCTGTATTGTATACAGCTCCTTTATATTAATTGCAATGCTTATGATGTATTCTACTTGTTTTCCTTCCCAAATGTTGCTCTATTATCTGTGTCTTGAAATCATTTTCCAATGTTTTAGAAAGAGGACTATCTTGTGAGATAATGACCAATCCATAAGACCACTTATATGGGTGGGGTTTTCTGTTGGGGTTTGCATGGTGCTGTGCTGCATATTTTTGGTACTTTGAGCTGAGTAGTCCCATTCTTTGTGTTGGTCAAAAGTGGAACATCTGGCTAATTCAGTTCTGCATGGGACCTTTTAGCTAGTATCTCATTTATCCATACTTCCACTGATGCTTTATAGGGCTTTGGTTTTTCCCAAAGAATCTTGACTGTTGTTTGAGATGCAGCATATTTGTATTATAAATCCTTATGACCCATTTCATGAAACTATAATACACACAAATAGTGAACATATAAGCATTGCTTTACTTTTAGCCACTGGAGGAGGCAAATGTGAAATGCAGTGTTAGTGAATAAAATTACAATTCATGCAAACTTATAGACAGGAAGAAGTTACATCCTACTGTAAAAAACAGCAGATCTAATAACTTACTACCAGCTGGTATTTTGACAAGCTAAATATATTTAGTTAGAAGTTCTGAGGTCAAAACTAAAGTCTCCTGGGAGTTGAAATCCACACATTTTTAAGTTACCAAGGTTGAGAAGGTAGGTTATTGCTACCAATTTCAAGTATATTTTTCAACTTCCTAATCTATCCGTTTAAGATTTCCTGTTAATCTTCCATTCAAGTACTAATTAGTTCAATCCTATTTAGTTTCCAAGTCCAGGAAAAATCTAAATATGGCAAGTACATTGTGCCTATTGTAGTGTATTATATCTGCACTGATATAAAATAAACAGAAGCAGTCTGTGAACATATAACATGAGTTGGAAAAAAAACTATTTAATTAAGTTTATTCATTAGTGCAGGATTCCAAATCAAAACATAAATTTATCTGGCTTTCATTATTAATTGGGTCTACTGCCAATGTACTTTTAGAAGATTTTTTCCTAAGGTTCAGTTGGAATCTTCCTTTCTCTAACATTATTTTGTATACCAATGGATGCAATTAGGTCTTAACTGACCACTTTCTGCATCAGGCAGGAGATTGATAACAGCCAAGGCTCAGAACTTTTCTGAATTAACCTGAAATTGGAAGAAATTAAATAATCTAAAATCCCAGAAAAGGACAACTGTAATGCTATGCCAGATTTCACTCTGAATTGAATGGATCACATGCCACCAATTTGCCCCATGTTCCATACATTCCTATTTGCAATTCATTATTTTTCTCTGATTAGCTGCAAGAGATAAAGCTGAATTGCTTCAACTTTTAAGCACGCCCATTAGCTTAGCAATTCAGAATAAGAGAAGTGGAAATGTGTCCTTTTAACATTGGAGAGAAAAAAAGATATCCTAAACTCATCATGCTCATTCTCACCTTAAACCACTGCATTATTGTGCAGAACAGATACAGTGTAAGCTGGAAGTGCTCCTTGATAGGATTGCTGGGCTTATTAATGAATCTTCATTATTAATTCCTTTGATTACATTCCTTCCAAGACTAGTTACCAAACTTCCAGAAGTAAGCTTCACAATTAAATCAAGATTATTTATCAACTTTACCCTCAATTTCATGCAAGCATTTAATTGCTGCAGCAATCTTTACTTAGCCCAATTAATACCGGTAGCAGCTTCAAATGATCATTAGATGATTCAGCAGCTATTCCTAACAGTGGTAGAACTTGAGTAGTATTAAGCTGTGGTGTGAATTTATGTAAAATAGGCCTTACATTTTATAAGCTTTACATTGTATGAGTCAAGTGTCAGTTCCCACACTTCCATACACAGAGAGAATAGTTGCATACAATCCAGCCATCCTTTTGTGGAACAATCTCCAAGGAGTTTCCTTCTTCAACCTTATTAATTTCTGTACATTAATATAATTACTATAGTGTGTACTATACTCAGGCTGTGAAGAAGTTTACCATTTTAAGTTTTTAAAGTTTACCATACAGCACTTTTTAAAAGGAAAAAAAACCATGAAAAATTTTTTTAAGACTTGTACATCCATGTCAGGAACAGCTTCACTATCATGTTTCTAGATTTATTTTAAAAGAGGAATTCTCATACTTTTCACATGCATATAGGATTGATCATGTTTTGATTATCCCTATTTTTTTCCCTTTTGACTGGGATAATTGCTTTCAAAGAAAAAGCCATCTTACCTGCGAGTGTGGAAATTTGGAAACAGTAGTTCCAATACATTTTGCAAGGCAATGATTGGGAAAGGCCACTGCACAAGAATGCACACTTTGCAGGGCAGCCTCAACGTTCCTAGTTGTAGACATGGAAAGAAGCTGCCTTTATTTAATCCAACAGAAGAAAGAAACTATAAGAGGGAGGACCTTCTAGCGGCCTTAGCCACAATTCGAGAGTACGAAAATAGGATTGTTCCTGTATTTCAAACGCTCGTGAGGAACTGAAAAGTCAAACCCGGGTACAGCATTCCAACAGGAAGAAAAATCGGAAGCCTCCCCCCCCCTCATCTCGTCTTATTCGACCACCTGATTCCCCGGTCTCCCTCTCAGGACTTCGCACCTATCGAGGCAACTTGCAGGCAATTTTGCCCCCAACTCTGCTCTTCTTCCAACCTCAACTTTTGCCGTGGACTCTCGGCTTTCCTTCCAGACCAAACCGAACAAGACCAAACCATGCCGTCGGCCTGATACTCACCGGTTCGCTCCCCTTCTCCCCATTTTACCCAAACCGCAGCGCGCCGAGACTATCAATGGTGCCGAAGCGATTCGCGCGTTATCAGCCGCCTCAAAACTCCCGCTATTGCAGCGGTTGCCTTGGGCTAGGACGCCTGGAGAGAGGTGGGCGTGCCCTGCGTCCTCAAGAAGAGTCATTGGCTCCCTTCTCCGATATTCCGCTGCGAGTTCGTCAGATTTTGGCAAACAACCCATCATCAGCCTATTTTATTCGCCAGTCTTATTGGGAAGCTAAAGGCCGGTAGCGCTAGTCCCTCCCTTCTGATTAATGCCCTAATAGGATACACCTGGCTTTGGCCAACGCGCTCTGCTTATTCCCACATGTGTCGTGGGAAGTGAATGTAAGATGTAAGCAAGGCGCTAGCTGGGCAAACTTGCTGCCAGATAAAAATATCACTACCATTAAATATATGTGACTATCAGAAGGTAGAGGCGCTGAGGAAAATTAGGGCAAAATAAAATATTATCTCAAGGAATCCTAATAGATTCTGTAAATGACCATATTTTCTTGGGGGGGGAGGTTAGGCCTGAAAAGGGGGGCAAGTCTAAAAGAGGTTCATAAGGACAAAAATAAATAAATATATTTATACTTTTGTTTTACAAAGGAAAATTCAAAGGCAAAATCAAGAAAATAAATCTAAAGGACAGCTTTCTGAAATAAAAGGACTGTCCTTTATAGGTCACTGCACCTTAAAGACAAAGAAATACACCTTTTCACTCTGATTAGTAACCATGAACAGAATAGAACAACAGAATAGAATAGAAGCTGGAAGGGACCTTGGAGGTCTTTTAGTCCACCCCCTCCGCCCCCGCTCAAGCAGGAGGACCTACACCAGGGGTAGGCAACCCAAAACACTCAAAGAGCCACTTGGACCCGTTTCCCATCAAAAACAAAACACCGGGAGCCGCAAAACCCTTTTGATATCTAAAATGAAGATAACACTGCCTATATCCTTTTTTACCTTTATTATAGGTGTGTGTGTGTGTGTGTGTGTGTGTGTGGTGTGTGTACACACACACACACACACACATTAAAAAAAATAAAAGTAAAAATATGACTCTTGGGAATATCCATACTATTAAAACAATGATCACCAAGAGAATGCTTTAAGAGAATAAAATTACATACACACAGAGGTAAAAAAAGGATATATGCAGTGTTATCTTCATTTTAGATGTCAAAAGGGTCTCTCTCTCTCTTCTCTCTCCCTCCCTCTCTATCTGCCCTTGGTCTGCCACTCCTCTTCCCCCACTCTCTTTCTTTCTCTCTCTCTTTCCTCTCCTCCTCTCTCTCTCTTTCTCTCTCTTTCTCCCCCCCTCCTATCTGCTGCTCACCTGGCAAGCTTCAAGCTGTTGTCCAACAAGCTCAGAGGTAAGCAACCTCGTCTCTTTTATGACTCATGGACTTCAACTCCCAGAATTCCTGAGTCAGCCTAGCTGGGCTAGCTAGCTCTCTCCTGCCCTTCCTGCTTCCTGCTTCCTGCAGAGACGCAGCAAAGGGAGGAGCTCCGCCCAGTAAGCTTTTCAGCTCCTCGGAGAACACTGTGAGTGCACTCTGTTTTACACACACACACACGCACGCACGCACGCACACAAAAACACACACACAGAGAGAGAGAGAAGCAGGAAAGTGTAATTGCCTTTCTCTGTCTCTGTCTCTCTCTGCAAAGGCAGAGGAAGCTGGGAGCTACAGGGGAAGGCTCAAAGAGCCGCATGCGGCTCCGGAGCCGCAGGTTGCGGACCTGTGACCTACACCATCTCAGACAAGTGATTGTCTAGCCTCTTCTTAAAAATCTCCAGTGATGGAGCACCCAGGATTTCTGGAGGCAAACTGGTTAATTGTCCTCACTGTCAGGAAGTTTCTCCTTAATTCCAGGTTGCTTCTCTCTTTGATCAGTTTCCAACCATTGTTTCTTGTCCTGCCCTCTGGTGGTTTAGAGAATAATGTGGCCCCCTTTTCTTAGTGGCAGCCCCTCAAATACTGGAATACTGCTATCATGTCTCCCCTATTTCTTCTCTTCTTTAGACTAGCCAAACCCAAGTCCTACAGCCATTCTTCATAAGTTTTAATGTCCAGGCCTTTAATCATCTTAGTTGCTGTTCTCTGAATTTTTTCCAAACTCTCAACATCTTTTTTGTGATATGGTGACCAAAATCAGCTGCAGTATTCCAGGTGTGGTCTTACTAGGGTTTTATAAAGTGGTACTAATACTTTGCGTGATCTTGATTCTATGCCTCTGTTTATGCACCCCAGGATTGTATTAGTTTTTTTGGTTGCTGCTGCTGCACACTGTTGGCTCATAGTCAAGTGATTGTTCATTAAGACTCCAAAGTCCCTCTCATAGTTACTGTTTTTGAGCCAGGTCTCGCCCAATCTGTACTTGTACCTTTGATTTTTCCTGCCTAAATGTAAAACTTTGTTTTTCTCCACATTGAAACTCATTTTGTTGGATAGGGCCCATTGTTCAAGTTTGTCAAGATCTTTTTGGATCCTGAGTTTGTCTTCTGGGGTGTTGGCTACTCCTTCCAGTTTGGTGTCATCTGCAAATTTGATGAGTTCCCCTTCAATTTCCTCATCTTAGTCATTGATGAAGATATGGAAGAGTACTGGGCCTAAGACAGAACCTTGTGGTACCCCACTGCTTACTTCTCTCCATGTGGATGTAGTGCCATTGAGGACTACTTGTTGAGTATGGTTTGCCAGTCAGCTGCAAAGCCATCCGGTGGTGATGTTGTCTATTCCACCTTTTTCTAGCTTACCAAGGAGTAGGTGGTGGACTACTTTATCAAATGCCTTACTGAAATCTAAGTATACTACATCCATAGCATTTCACTGGTCTAGTTTAGTTTAGTTTAGTCACTTTATCAAAGAATGAAATAAGATTGGTTTAGCAAGCCTGGTCAGTTTCAATATCTCAAATAAGCTGCCCAGAATGTTTTGGAATAAGTGGCCTTAGTAACTTTAATAAACAAAGTTTTTGAATACAGGTAGCCTGATATTTTTGACCTGTTTGTCTTTCATCATTGTGGCTGTAGTTCTCCCTTTCCAAAGGTACTGGTAGGCTTATAGTTTTATGTAAAGATTTACAGTTTTATGTAACTCTCTTGTTCCCACAAGTTTATAAGACATTATAGATTTCAGAATGGAGCTGTGGATCTGCTGAACTTTCCAAACATTTTTTTCTTTTCACATAGGTGCTATTTACAGGTACAGCAGGGGTCCCCAACCTGTGGACCATGGCCTGGTAGTGGGCCGTGGCCAGTGATGGGATTCAGCCAGTTTGCACCACTTCGGCAGAACTGGTAGCTAATTTTTTGTTGCCCAAGCCCAGAATGGACTTCCGGAAGTGGCATCCACACAGAGAACTGGTTGTTCACATACCGTATTTGAATCCCACCACTGAATCCCAAAATGGGTCGCTGCCATGCCATTTGCGGCACGCACATGTTCTCATACCATGTGCGTGCACATGCACACATGTAAAATGCTTCCCCCTCCCTTTTCCTCTGGTCCGCCAATCGACAAAGGTTGGTGACCTCTGAGGTACAGAACAAGGTACAGAAATTAAATCCAGTATTGAAAGCTATTTAGATCCTACATTTTTGAAGCATTACCCTCCCCCAAACATATGAGGATTCAAATTGGGTAAAATAGCTTCTCCAGTCTGGTAATTTCTAGATATGCTGGACTATAATTTCAAAATTTCCAGCCAGGATGGGTGATAAGCAATCCAATCTCTGAACCTGCCTACTATGGAGAGCTTAGAGGTCTCAGTGTTCAATCCCTTTTTTAGTGCAAGGATCCAGCCGGAGCATCCTCAACAATTGTCTACTTAGTGTCAACTGTACAAACGAGACTTGCTCCCCTATAGGAGAGACCATCACTTTTCTTATTTTAATGCTGTTAGAGTTCCTTTATCTTAAAGGCTTTAGTATCTATTTTTTCAAACCATTGCAAATCATCTTTGTGAGGGCGAGTGGGTACAGATTTGAAAAATTTAAAATCTATAAAAATAAATAAATTTACCAGTGGGAGAATTTGCCTAGAAAATATCTCTTTCCTACATTGCTGATATTTACTGTATGTTAGGCCTGGACAGCAGTCATTGGAATGCTTCTTGCATTTTTGATCCAGTTTAGAGCAAAGCCCTTCATTTAACGACCTGCAAGGTATATTGCAATATAAACGATCCTGGATGGAAATCAACTGCACTTAAGTTAGTCAGTGCTAATGTAATGTAATCTTATTTCATTAAATTATTTGCCTGTGTCTAAATCCAACTAAGTCAACTAATAGTATTGAGTTCTGGCTTGCATCATTTGCTTTGGACTGTTAATGATGAAGAAGCAGGATAGAACTTTTGAGTGACAGTTGTTGAAAAGATGTGTAGAGTGAGCTCCAGAACATCTCCAGAACATCCCTTCCAAACAGGATTCACACCTTGTCATGGGAAAGAGACATTACCTGCACTAGAGAATGATCTTCATAGGCACTTGTATGGGGGTAACTTCTTAACTGCATTTAGTATCATTGGCTATGGTATCCTACAAAGACAGGGGATCAGGGCACTATTCTGTAATAGTTTCACCTGATTGCATATCTCCAGTTAGTAGTTCAGAGGGAAAAATGCTCATTCCTGTGGTTGTTGCAATGTGGTCTTCTCTTTCATATTATTCAACATCCATATAAAATGTATTTAATGAGAAAAGTGGGTCTGGTCACATGATGACTCACTCAATGACCTCATTGCTACTAGTCCCAACTGTGGACAAGAGACACCAAAGTATTCCTATCAGTTGGAAATGATGTGGTGAGCAAAGCTCAATGGTTTCTCTTGCCATATTGAAGAGTCCAAATGTTAAGCCTGACATTTAAAGCAGGATCCTGCAGTCTCTTCTGTTTCTATGGAGATAGCAGATACACTGGACTTTTGCCTTTTGAGAATCTCTTGGGGTTCCACATCTGTGTTTATTGTACATCTGCTGAATTCAGCTGCTCTGCTGCTGCATGAGGTCATCTTGAAAAGGGAAAAATGAAATTGCAAAGCAGAGAACGGTTTAATTTTGAAGAGAACATAATGCCAAAGTCCAAAAATCAGTGTAGTGGTGTATTTTGAGTTCAG